GAGAGAGAGAGAGAGAGAGAGAGAGAGAGAGAGAGAGAAAGAAATGGAGAAGTAAGAGAGAGTATGATACTGAGGCCTAGGAGCTGTCTCTGAGCTTTTTGACTCAAGGCTGTTGACCCACAGCTCCACTTCCAGCTTTCTTTTGATGGGTAATTAGACATAAGCTTCTTGGGAACTTTTCTACCCTGGCTGGCTTCAAATCATGATTCTAAGATCTCAGTCTCCTGAATAGCTAAGATCATAAGTGTGTACCACTGTGCCTAGGTAGAAGTACACATTTTGTTAACCAGTGGAAATATGTTAATTAAATTGCTGGAGTTTTTTTTAACTTGGAGGTAAAAAAAATCTTTTGAAGAAATGTAGCAATAGAGCATTCATCTAACTGATTTAAATTTCATAAAATCTAGCTAAAGGAATGCCTGCATGTATTAAAAATGTTAAACATGAATTCATGATGATATTTAATTCTATTTTTTGTGTTTCTAGTAGTGAATTAATTAATTAATTAATTGTGTCAGTCCTGAGGCTTGAACTCAGGACTTGGGCACTGTCACTCAGCTTTTTCATTCAAAGCTAGTGCTCTACTATTTGAGCCATAGAGCTACTTTCAGCTTTTTGGTGGTTAATTACCAACCTCCTGCTGAGGCTGGTTTTGAACTGTGATCCTCAGATCTCAACCTCTCTGATAGCTAGGATTACAGGAATGAGCGACTGGCTCTTGACAATGAATTTATTTTTGAAGTAATTACAATACTAAGGTCAAGCAATACATTACATTTTTATATTCTTTATTAAAGGATCTATTTTAAAATCATATGAGATTGGTAAGAGTCAGATATTTTAGATAAGGTCACATAAAATGTTACTCTAAGGCGTTATATGAATGACACCAGCTCACACCTTTTCTCTCTGGTATCTACAACACGCACATACTGCTTGGAATAGTTTCTCTTTGTATGAGTAGAGAGGATAGAAGTGTTGTTCAAGTGGTAGAGTGCCAGCCGTGAGAAAGAGCATGAGGCCCTAAGTTCAAGTACCATACTAGTACACACACACATTCAAGTGCAAGCATTCATGTGCCAAGTTCTATACATGGGCAGAGAGTAAATAGTTAATATTTTTGCATAACAGTTATTATTGCAACTAACCAACTCTGCTCTTGTAGTAAAAAGCAGCCACTGATAATACATATGTGCATGTGAATGGCTGAGTTCCAATAAAACTTTACAAAATAGCTGGCAAACCATGGTTTGCCCACTTGTGTTTTGAAGTACATTGACCAATGGAATATTCTGTGATTTGATGTAGCACTTACTATTTTTTTCTGTCGGTGGTAGGGCTTGAACTCTGGGCCTGTGTGCTATCCCTGAGCTCTTCAGTTTAAGGCAAGCGCTCTATCACTTGAGCCACAGCACCACTTCTGGGTTTCTGGTGGTTAATTGGAGAGAAGAGTCTCATGGACTTTCCTTCCCCGGGATGGCTTTGAACCACAATCCTTAGATCTCAGCCTCCTGAATATCTAGGATTACAGGTGTGAGACACTGGCGCCCAACTTATTTTTTAATTAGGTTTATTACATAACAAGTATATGCAGAAGTAGCACTGTGGCTCAAGTAGTAGAGTGCTCATCTTGAGCTGAAGAGCTCAGGGACAGTGCCCAGGCCCAGGGTTCAAGCCCCATGACTGACCATGAGTATATACTATGGTATATTCATCTTTTAAGAGCATTATTCATATGCACAATTTCAATTCATTTTTAAGTTTTGAGGTAGAATTTGGGTTTCAAATGTGAAAATGTTTCTATGACGTTGTTTCACTTTCTGAATATTCTCTCTTTAGGTGTTTACATTGAAGAAGTTCTAAGTAAATGGAAAGGAGATTATGATAAACTGGAGCGCAACCACACTTACATTCAATGGTCAGTTTACGTTCTCTTTCTGGAACTGTGCCCTGTTTATTGTGTGTGTTTTCTAGACAATGTTAATAGAGAATTTTTATTTTTTTAATAAACAGGCTTTTCCCCCTGAGAGAACAAGGCTTGAACTTTTATGCTAAAGAATTAACTACATATGAAATTGAGGTAGTGTAAGCTCATTTCATTTATTCATTTTATCATTTTTTAAATCCTTAGGAGCTTTCAATATGATATGTCAGTTTATGAGTACAATGCATCTTGAATAAAATGGTCAAATAATATTATCATCTTATTGTCCTGGTAACTACTAATAATCTCAGTGGGCTTTTTCTGTTTCTGTTTATTTTCATACTCAGGAATTCAAAAAAACAAAAGAAGCAATTCGAAGATTCCTTCTGGCTTACAAAATGATGTTAGAATTTTTTGGCATAAAATTGATTGATAAAACTGGAAATGTTGCTCGGGCTGTTAACTGGCAGGAAAGATTTCAGCATTTGAATGAGTAAGTCAAGCTCTGGGCATGAATCAGTCATCTTCCATTGGTCAGAGTTCTCTACAGGAAATAGGTACAGCTGGCATTTGGACCCAGGGATTTGGGTTTAAAATCCAGTCTCAAAGGCATTTTATCATCTGTTCTACATCCAAAAACCAAACCAAACAATAGCTAAAAAGAAGGAAATATAGGTAGAAAAATCTGATATTCAACTTCAAAGCTGTTTCTTCCTCAAATTGTTTGCCACAGTTATGTATGGCCTCTGTCTCAGAGCCATATTTCTCAGAATTTATGGTGACTGCCTATTTACAGTTTTTCCTATCCCGTCAACAAGGCTGTATGCTGCTTGGGGTAAAAAATCATTCCGTAAAAGTAAGACATGCCCATTCTAAAACAAGGGAAATTGTTATTATCTTCATTGAGATTAAAAGAAAAACACATTTTGGGCTAATAAATCCTAAGACCTATAAAGAAAAAAATACAGTTTATTTGGATTTTGTACATCATTTTTATTGTTATTATAAAAGTGGTGTACAAGGGGTTACTGTTTCATAAGTCAGGTAATAAGTACATTTTTTTTAGGCAATGTTAACCCTTCCTTTGCTCTCCCAGTTTTTTCCTTCCATCCCCACCCACAAGTTGTACAGTTCATTTTCAACATAGTGTCTAGTGTACACCACTGCTGCATTTGTTCATCCTTTGTCCCTCCATTTCTGTACTACCTTCACACCCTCCCCAGATATATAAATGAACAAATAAGTCAACAAATAGGAAAAAAAAAACCTTGTTTCCATTTCCTGGAATTCCTTTCTATAAATATTATTTTATATGATCAGATCCATTATTTAGATTCTTAAAGCTATATTTTACTTGGATATTTATAACTTTCGTTAGTACTTGTAACCAAAGTTTAGTTTTTAAAATATTTTCTTTATATGTGAACTGGCTTTTTTGATTCCTTTTTAATTATAGGGTGATTATGAGTACTAGACTCCAAAACCAACAGTTTTGAAGCACTTTTTACAGCACATTATAATTAGCTGAGCTGGGCAAGTACTAAGAGAAAAGAATTTAAAGCTAACATAAGCATTTTCTGTTTGGCCAGAATCATCCATGTTGGCATCAGCTGTTTGAGTCCCTGATATTTTTGCAGACTTTTTACCTTATTTTGGTAAAATGAGTATAAATATGAATGTCTAGCTTTTTTTTACTCTGTGATAAACAATGCTACTAAAATGGTAACTTGTTCTATAAAAAATTAATGTGCATTAAATCTTTTCAATCCTAACTGGAAGATTCATTCATTTATAATTCACATGAAATATATGTACTTCTAACTAAGAAATGCCAATTACATTGCTAAACAAACTTTCTAAGCATTGTATCACACTTCCAAAGTTCTGTTCAAGAATGTCTAGGCACTAGACTGATGACTATCATCTTAGCTATTTAGGAAGCTGAGATCTAAGGATAGTGCTTGAAAGCCTTCCCAGATGAGACTCTTACCTCCAATTAACCACCAAAAATCTAGAAGAGGATCTGTGATTCAAGTGGTAGAATGCCAGCCTTGAGCCGAAAAAGCTAAGGGACAGCATCCAGGCTCTGAGTTTAGCCCCAATACCAACACACACACACACACACATACACACACACACACACTCACACTCTCTCTCTCTCTCTCTCTCTCTCTCTCTCCAGGCTCTGAGTTTAGCCCCAATACACACACACACACACACACACACACACACACACACTCCAGGCTCTGAGTTTAGCCCCAATACACACACACACACCATCCAGGCATCCAGGCTCTGAGTTTAGCCCCAATACCAATACACACACACACACACACACTCACACACTCCAGGCTCTGAGTTTAGCCCCAATACCAACACACACACACACACACACACACTCCAGGCTCTGAGTTTAGCCCCAATACACACACACACACACACCATCCAGGCTCTGAGTTTAGCCCCAATACACACACACACCATCCAGGCTCTGAGTTTAGCCCCAATACCAACAAACACACACACACTGTATGTGTAAGGAAGAACTCTGTTCATATGAAGGATGGTTAAAGTAAACCTTAGGAAAAGCCTTCACAGCACCCAGGCTCTGAGTTGAGCCCCAACACACACACACACACTCTCTCCCTCTCTCCCTCTCTCCCTCTCTCTCTCTCTCTCTCTCTCTCTCTCTCTCCCTCCCTCCCTCCCTCTGGAAGAACTCTGTTCATATGATCTCTATCTCTCTCTGGAAGAACTCTGTTCATATGATCTCAATCTCTCTCTCTCTCTCTCTCTCTCTGGAAGAACTCTGTTCATATGAAGGATAGTTAAAGTAAACCTTAGGAAAAGCCTTCACAGCACCTCTATCAGTTTAGACTTCCACCTCAATTTGTTCCTTTTGGTTGAAATAGTAATCTTGTGTAGGCATTTTTCTTGAATGAATAAATCATGAACGAAATATGGTTTTCAGCTTAAATCCTCCTTGGGGTTTAATTGTCAGAACCTGTGATAATTAACTAGAAGCAGCCTTTTCTGTAGGTTTTAATTAAATGAGTTCCTGGCTAGAGGGGAGCAACCAACAGCCCCCTCCCTCCTCTGCCTATCCCTCCCCACCAGCCAGTGTCTTCCATTGCCTTTCCAGCCTATGTTTGAGTCTGCCAGTAAACATCTTTTCTCCTCTGCTTTAATTGCCAATTTTTTTTATTAACTAGATGTTAAAAAATTATGTGGGATGATGTGAACTTGTCTACTCTATTTTCTTCTTCAGCTGGATTCTTTTCTGATTTATTCTTAAATGTCACAGCGTAGACATGCTTTAATCTGTATCTTGAGCTTTTTAATGTAAGCAGGGAACTCAACATATTTTTGCCAGCTTAAGTGAAGTGAAATAACATTAGGGGAATAAGAGACCATGCCAAAAGAAGTGAAATATTTTCAGGCATAAAAGTAAAAATGTAGAGACCAACCAGTAGGATGGAGATCCAATTTGACTTGTAATTAGCTCGGGTTACTTATCAAATATAGCTCAAGACTGGGCCATTTCAGAGACCTGGGAATCCCTTGTAGCTTTTATTTTGTAACTTCTGTCTTGTGGTTCTTGTTTTTAGTGTATTCTGTCCTCATCTTCTGACAATATCAACACTATTTATTTCCTTCATCACTGTCTAGCGTCCCAGCTCCTCTCTTTAACCCATGCATTCAATTTAGACTGATTATATGAAATTGAACTGGCTGCAAATATAGTATTTGTATTTTTTTCCTTTTCCTCAAACATTCTTCTACCTTTCCATACCTCTTTCTCATATTTGTAGAGGTTGCTTAAGAATTTTTCCACTGTTTTGAATACACAAACTTCCATAAACTTAAGAGCTAAGTCAATTTTGCTATTAGTGGTACATGATTATAACTTTTTCCGCATTAGATTGTCTTAAAAATCTAGTAAACAGCCGGGCGCCGGTGGCTCATGCCTATAATCCTGCTACTCAGGAGGCTGAAATCTGAGGATCACGGTTCAAAGCCAGCCTGGGCAGGAAAGTCTGTGAGACTCTTATCTCCAATAAAGCACTAGAAAACTGAAAGTGGCACTGTAGCTCAAGCGGTAGAGGGCTCACCTTGAGTTGAAGAGCACAGGGACAGTGCCCAGACCGAGTTCAAGCCCCATCACCCACAAAAAAAAATCTAGTAAACTATAGATTTATAAAACTAAAACACACCAATGTTACATTTTACCTTTGAGGCTTCAGAGTGAACTTTAAGATGATATTTTTTGGTAAACTCCAGAAGGATGGAGATGATTAAAATAAAAAGTATGTTGGACTTGTCTTTCTCAGTATTTGGTTAGTCCAAATCCATAGGACTTTTGTTTTGTGATAACAAACCACTAAGGTACAAAACTATGGAACTATCCTTTCAAAGCTCAAAGAACTTACCATCACCTTTACCATCCTTCCCAAGTCATTCGATACTTACTTATAAGTAAAACCTGTGAGTGCTTTTAGAAGCTAGGGCGGTATGTGCAATACTTGTAGAGAATTCAGTGGATGAGATAAAAGCACAGGTTTTAGGAAGTGAAAATGTGGGGGCTGATTAGCCAGGTGCTACTAGCTAGCTACTCAGGAGGCTGAGACTTGAAGATAGCCGTTCAAAGCCAGCAGAGTTGGGAAAGTCAGTAAGACTCATCTCCGATTAACCAGCAAAAAGGTGAAAGTGGAGCTGTGACTCAAGTGGTAGACTGCTAGCTTTTAGTGAAAATGCTAAGGAATAGTGTCCTGCCTGAGTTCAAGCACTAGTACCAGAGTGTGTGCTTATGTGTGTGTGTGATAGTATTGGAAAATAAATCCCTAGGCTATTGACAAACACATGATTGATATGTATAACTGAGGCTTCCTTTAGGATTTGGCTGGGCATGTGTAATAAGATGAAGTGAATTTAGTGAGTTGTGCAGAATTGATTTGGAAAGCATTACTCCAATAATTGTCTTAGTTTTGAAATAAAGAGGAAATAAAGAGAAAAGGCATCTCTGGAACCAAGGCCATAAGAAATAAGATTGATATTATCCTGATAGAATAACAAAAGAGAAAAATGGCCAAGGTGGGAGAAAATTAGGTTATTAAGTTGGAACCATTATAAATATGTAGTTCTCAATACTAAATCCCTAGATGATTATAATAATATAATAATTTTAAATATCATCTATCTCATTTTTCATGCATATGTATCATTCGTTTGAATTTTTCAACAGTCCAGTAAGTTGTTGTCCACTGTTTTCATTTTATGGATGATACTGGAACTTGGGTAGATATTATAATTTCACATAGCTTCTCAATGATAGAGCTAGCTCTCTAGGGTGGGACTGATTTCCAGGATCATGCTCAACTGTTAAGGTATGCTATTAAGTCAGTTGTACATCATTTGTCAGGGTCGTTCTAGCCAAGTAGAGTGGTTTGCTCTGTAAATTAGCTTTTATTTTTCTTCTATGCTACTAGGGTTTTTACTCAGAGCCTCCTGCTTGGTAAGCAGGCATTCTACCACTTGAGCGATACCACTATCTGGCTTTTTCCTGGTTATTTTGGAGCTAGAGTCTACCTGGGATAGCTTCAAACTATGATCCTAAAGATCTCAGTTTTCTGAGTATCTAGGACTACAGCATGCCCAGCTTAAATCAGCTTTTGCAGTGCCTTTTGCTACAGCTTACATCAGCTGTTACTGAGATGAGCGCTGTATACAGATAGGGTTGCACAGGTCCACCTGTGCACAAGTGGGGATCTGTGCACAAGATCCCCAGATGTATGCTGACACTTTGGATGTCGCAGAATCCTGTACATAGTTTGTTCATTTATATGTCCATAATAGAATTTAATTTAAAAATTACTCATGGAAAAAGATTCCCAACAAAATCTACTCATAAAGTTAAACAAGTATAACAATATAGTATAATAAAAGTTATGTTAATGTAGTCTTATTGACTCTTCCTAGAAGTCCTATTGTTCTTTTGTTACCATTATGATTATTGGAGAAGGTACAATGCAGACCACCTGTCCTCAATATGTTTAGAAAACTAACCATAACTCAACATCCATGGGGAAATATGCAAATACTTTTTTCTAATATAAGGAGTGAAGAAATGCAAATTTATTATTTATATTTAACTTCCATGTAGATTAGCATTACATTAATATATAAGAGTTTAGTATCTGATTTATTCTTAATAGTATCTGATGTGACTTTTTTTTTAAAGACACCAGTTATAAAAGTCTTTTTTTAGTAGTGTGCTTTTCCTCTACCTAAGTTCCTTCCACTCATTTTATTTAATCTTCTCTTTTCCAGGTCCCAACATAACTATTTAAGAATCACCCGTATTCTTAAAAGCCTTGGTGAGCTTGGATATGAAAGTTTTAAATCTCCTCTAGTAAAATTTATTCTTCATGAGGCTCTTGTGGAAAATACAATTCCCAATATTAAACAAAGTGCTCTGGAGTATTTTGTTTATACAATTAGAGACAGAAGAGAAAGAAGAAAGCTCCTGCGGTTTGCCCAGAAACATTATATGCCTTCAGAGAATTTTATCTGGGGACCACCTAGGAAAGAACAATCAGAGGGAAGCAAAGCCCAGAAAATGCCTCCTCCTCTAGCCTCTAGTCAAAACAGTCAAAGTTCTATGCACAAGAAATCCAAGGACTCCAAAAATTCCTCCACAGCTGTTCATTTAAATAGCAAGACAGTGGAAGAAAAAAAAGAGCCAGGGCTAGAAACAGACAGGCCCAGTCCAGAACCCAGCAATGAAGCTGCCAAGTCAGGACACACAGACAAGGACAGTAATGCTGAAAATTCACATTCTCAGCCTGAGAAAATAGCCACCAATTCTGCAGAATTAAAGGAAAATGGATCTCCTTCAGGAAAAGATGAAGAAGGCGAAAGTCATATTCTAGACTGTGACAATCCTACAGATTCCAGTAGCCAGGATGAGGTACTAGTACAGTGAATCATTAGAAAACCACAGACAGGCCCATTTAAGTTAAGGGGATAGAGAAAGCACTATCTAAAATTTATTCTAAAGAACAGAGAGGAGGTCATGTTTCAAATATTCACCTTCTGTTTGTGATTTTTGTTGTATTTTGTGTCTTTATTTAAATCTTGGATGACAGATTAAGATACTTAACAAGAAGTTTTAAGACCAGATCCAATAAAATGAATGTATTCTCTAATGGTTTTAAGGATTTAAGTTTTCAAGTTTTAAACTATTTTCCAGTATTTAGAAATACTCATGTACTGTCTGATATAGCCAATATACTTTTGAAAAATGTCAGTCTACTCTGTGAAGAAAATCAAGAATATCATTTCATTATATAGTCATACTTTTGTCTGATATTGAGGTTAGTTCAGAAGCTAAAAGAGACAGTCTAGTCACCTCAAATGTATTCAGAAAGTAATTTGGATCCTGTGATGCCAACACCTCAGTGGGTTGACTTGTAGATTCTGATAAGTGAAATGGATGTCCTTGGGAAGGTCTGGCCTCTCTGGTGTAGGTCAGCCCTGCTGTTTCCTCTCCCCGTTTCCTGAGCCCCTTCAGCCACCATCTTTGTTGGCTTCTGTCTGCATTTCTAGTACAGACTAGTAGGATCTCCTATATTGATAACTATGTGGAAGAAATGACTTTTTTTCTGTGGTGGTGTTGCTTGGGATTTGAACTCAGGGCCTTACACTTGTGAGGCTGGCACACTACCACTAAGTCATGCTTCTAATCTTGTGTATCATTGGTTATTTTTAGAACAGGATTTCCTTTCCCACCCGAGCTGTGATCTACCTACTTTTAGGCTTCCTGTAGTTGCTAGGAACATAGGCACTTACCATTGTGTACAGATTTCTTCTTTTAAAATGGAATCACACAGACTTTTCTGCCCAATCTGGCCTTGAACTGTCATCCTCTTGATCTCAGCCTCCCAAGTAGCTAGGATTATAAGTAAGAGCCAGTGGCATCTGGACTCATTTTTTAAAAAAAATGATGGTATTGTGGTTTGAACTCAGGGCTTTGCATTAACTTAGCACGAGAGATTTTTTTTTTTAATTGTGCAATTTTAGGCATTTTCTGTGTTTAAAATAATAGAACTATTTTAAGTGCTTAAAAACAATTTTGGTGCAAAAGTCCAAAAATAAAGAATGAAAGAACAGGAAGGATAGGAAGAAAGAAAGGAAAAAGAGGACTTGGCTTCTTATGGCAATTACATGTAAGTTGGGTGGTTGATTGTGAATGAAAATGTCTGAGGAATTAAAATATGAGAAAAGAAATTACTTATTTTCAGAGGCTTGCTTCTTGCACTGCCACTAAGCAGCAGTCCCTTAAACCATTAATAACTTGGCATTATATGGATCATGAAGTTACTAATATTGCTTGGTACATAATGTCTCTTTAAATCATTTCTATAGTTTACACATCTTTTAAGTAGTCACATGTTGAAATTGAGAACAGTTTACATATATTTAGATCTAGTAAGTACTTAAGATGTTCCATAATATAACATTGATTAAAAACAATTCTGTTTCTTATAGTAGTATTACCAGTTACTATTACAACTCAGAAGCCAATCTGAAACACTGTGATGAGAATTTCCAAAGCATTCATACAAATACAGATAAAACAATAAACAAACATTTTCATTTTAGAAAAGAATTGACTTTTTCCTGGGCATAAACTCGGAGCCTTATAATCTTGTTTGGCTTTTTCACTCCAGGCTGGCACTCTGTCTGCCATGGAGCTACACTTCCATTTCTGTTTGGTTTTGTTTGTTTGTTTTTCTAGGTAACTGGACATAGATTTTCTGTTCCAACTGGCTGTGAATCTGAGATCCTCAGATCTCGGCCTTCTGAGTAGCTAAGATTGCAAACATGAACTACTTGCCTTGACCTTTTTGGAAAAAAAGTTGTTTAAGAAATCACTTTTACCCTCCAGAGAATTTTTAATATATCCTATATTATATCATATAGTAATACAGGTAGTATATTCTTTTAGTTACTTCAGAATTTACACCAAAATATTCAATTGCTGAAGACTGATTTTTTATATGAACCTTAGTAGCATTCAAGTTATGTATCCTACTCTCATAAGTAAAGAATATTATTTTTAGTTCCAATAGTTTATTATTATTTTGTGTTTTTGACTGTTTTGTGAAATACTAGAATTTTGTTTGTTAGAATCTGTGTGTGTGTGCACGTGTGTGCGTGCACATGCAGGCACACACATACACACACACATACACACACGTGTCAGTATTGGGGCTTGAACTCAAAGCCTACAGGTTGTCCTTTAGCTTTTTTGCTAAGAGCTGGTGCTCTACCATTTGAGTTTCAGCTTCAATCCTGGCTTTTTGGTGGTTAATTAAAGATAGGAATCTCATGAGCATTCTGCTTGGGCTGGCTTTGAACCACGATCCTCAGTTCTTGGCTTTGGATTACAGGCATGAGCCGTCAAGTACCTAGCAGTATTAGGATTTTGAGGTAACAACTTAGTTTACATATTAGTGTCTGTTTTACATGCAAGAACCATGCACCTGTTACTGGCGTGTGTGGTAGCATGTCCTTTTAGATTTCAGTAAACGTGTTCACATGGTTGAGGGACAGTAGATTCTCAAATCAGGCTGAATTATAGGAATATGATTGATGCAATTCAAACTTTCATGACAAGTTTGTATCTATGATAATGTTTCAGACTACTTTCTGGATATTTAATTTTAAAAATATGTGACCAGATACTGAAACTGTTTCTCAGTTACCAGATACTAAAGTAAATGAATATAATCTGAATTCTATAGAACTTGTAATATATCAGAACCCTTTTAGAAATGAAAACATTTCACTTAACAAGTTAGATTTTAGAATGTCATTCCTTATGAGGGATTTTGTTAGGTTGTGTGTTTGAGAATACTTAATCTCCAGGGGAGAGCTCCCTGGCTTCCATCTAAAATAGTGGCCTTTTCCCACTGTGGTGTTTATTTTTTAATGCATATTTGTATGTGACAGGATGTTTCCTACTTTTAATCTGTAATTAACTACTGAGAGGATGCTGTAGTGGAGATCCAGTTAGAGGATGATACTCCTTTTGCAGATTAAAAAAATGGAGTGTCTAGAACTTTTTAAATTAAGAATACTTTGTACATTTAATAGTTTTTTTTTTAAAAAAAAGAGCTATAGCTATGTAAATACATATGAGTGTCTTAGATAGGAACTACCCTCTGGGTTTGACTCCACTCTCTTATATTTCTAAAATTACGATATGCTTGCAGAAATTTACTGAGAAGCTGTTACAGAAAATGCAATGAAGCATGGCCAAATAACTAGAAACATTATGAAATACTTGCAAATAGATTGCCTTTATTGTATCATGGGCTGCAATAATACTATATTAATTATTGATAAAATACCAACTTGTATTTCATGACATATAGGTGTTATCTTGCTTGATGAGTCTAATGCATTTCTGATATTTTGTGCTTACATATATCAAAGGAGAGACTATGTGAAAGTACTTTGACATACTGTAAAGTATACTGTAAATATTTCTGTACAGTAGAAATGTTTCTAACTTTGATTATTGTGCCAATATACATTTCCATGTTTAATCTCATTAGACATTCAAAAACATAGTAGTAGAAGTGAGCACACACCTGCTTTGTCCAAATCAAGGCAAGATATTAGTTCAAAATGATTTTATAGTTTTACTTTGTTTTAGGTTTTAGGAATACATGTTTTCCCATCTTTAAGGAGAGGAAAAAAAATTCTACAACTCAGGAGTTACTTAAGGAAGTGCTAAGCAGTTTTTGCCAAGTATTAAAGATACAAACATGTAAACTACCATAAAACCTATTATTATCATTATATGTCTCATAGTTTGTCACATAAAATTACCTACTCTGCTTCTAGTTTTTATACTTTAATCTGAGTAAAAGTAGGAAACAGAAAAGTACAGTGCTACATCTGAGTTAGTATTTAAAAAACAAATTTGGTAAGTAAGCCTCCGTATCACATGGTCAAAAATCAGTTAAACTGACAAAGATTATTTGATTAAATGTTAAATATCATAAATTTATAATATATTTTTGATTGAGTTTATAACACCAAGTAACTAAATCAAATGTGTGTGTGTGTGTGTGTGTATGAATACTGAGGCTTGAACTCAGGGCCTGGGCATTATTCCTGAGCTCTTTTGCTCAAGACTATAGTGGTCTACCACTTTGAGCCACAGCTGTATTTCCAGTTTTCTTGTGGTTAATTAGAGCTAAGAGTCTTAAGGACTTTCTTGCCCAGGCTGGCTTTGAACCTCAATCTTCAGATCTCAGTCTCCTGATTAGTTAGGATTACAGGCGTGTACCCCTAGCACCTGGAACTCTTGTTTTATTTTTCACTGAGTAAAATTTCTTTTGGGGGGCCAAGGGGGATACGGTTGTTAAATATAAAGCAGGCTGGATTTAGACCTACTGGAATCATCCAAATTATATGCAGAAATCATCCAAATTATGTGGAGAAATGTGGCCTGAGTCAGCATTGCACCAGGAAATTAGTAACAGTGGCTATTAGCAGAGTTCCTCATTCTTTCAGTGTTGGACTCTGTACTGCTTACTACAGGAACAGATTTGTGTGGGTTAGCTTAGGGTGGCATCGAGTGCTGTCCTGCCTCTTCCTTTGTTCTAGTTATCCAAACCACCCAGCAGATTGCAGTTCAGGGACACAGTCTTTTTAGAAGTCTCCTATAACTGAAATGAATAATAATACAGTGATAAGTACAAATGCCCGGAGGTGTGCAGATGTGCCTTAATGAATGCATATGGTTTTCATTCAGAAGTTTACAATTTTACTTCATTGTAAAATCTTTTCATAAGAAATTTTCCATAAACATCAGTTATTTTAATGAAATTTATTTTGGTGTTTTATTGTTTTGGAGAAATTGCCATTTAGAGCTTTATAAAGCAGTATATTCACCCCAATACTTGACACATTATATTTGTCAAAAGGCTGAGGAAGTAAGATTGACCTGTGTTGTTTTCTATATTATTGCTTTCTTAGGTTTGCTACATGATATTCTGTTTACTTTCAAGCTCCTTTAGCTACTATAAGTAATATTTATCTGTTTTGTACTTCCTCTTCTTAGAAAAAAATGGATGCAGAAAATAAATTCATATTAGAGGATTTATTAAATGTTTAATTCCAGTAGATGTTTGCAGAAATCTGGAGTGACACTGAATTTTTTTCCATGCAGTAAGCTTACCTGAAATATTTAAAAAGCCACCCTCTTACTTTTGTTCTAAATTTAAGAAAATATTCTTTTTCATCTGCTTTTCTCTGTTCTGTTGGCAAGTTTAGAAAATAGAAATAGCTGCTGCTGTTGCTGCTGCTTTCTTCTTCCTTCTCTTCCTTCCTCCTCCTTATTCTTTCTTCTTTCTTCTCTCTCCCTCCCTTCACCCTCCTCCTCCCTCTCCTCCTCCTTTCCTCTCCTTCTCCTTCTTCTCCTTCTCCTTCTCCTTCTCCTTCTCCTTCTCCTTCTCCTTCTCCTTCTTCTTCTTCTTCTTCTTCTTCTTCTTCTTCTTC